GTTCTACTCTCCCAAAGGCTCTAGTAGTAGATTAAATAAATAAATATGTGAGTGCACAAACAATCATAAAAGTGGCAAGTGTCATGAAGAACAATCCAAGATAACGTATGGGTGTGGGCCTGAGGATATAAAGTTTAAGCCAAATTTTGAAAGTTAGCAGAGATTTACTCACCAAATAGTAGAGATAGGTTGGAATTGTCCTGGAAAACAGAAAAGCTTGTGAAGAGGCCTTGGGCCAGGAAGGGTTGCAAACTGGGGACTTGTTGTATCCTCACACAGAGGAAAAATGGGAGAGAGCTCTCTAGGGGTCTCTTTCATAAGGGCACTAATCCCATTCATGAGGGCTTCACAGCTCATGACCTATTCACCACCACAGGCCTCACCTCCTAATGCTATCACTTTGAGGGATGAGATTTTAATATGAATTTTGGGGGCAGAGTAGGGACACAAATAGTCTGTCGCACACACAGGAAACACCTGATGGATATTTGCTATTATTATTATTATTATTCAACTATATGAAAGGTGGTATATTGGGCACCATGCAGGCGACATGTGATATGTTGGACAAGTAGCAAAAATTGGACTGTGGTGATTCATTGCTTAACCGCCTAAAGAACTCCTCCTGTCATCAGTTGGAGCCTTGGAATTTAGGTCTGACGGTCTGAGCTCAGGTTTGTCCTTCAGTTTTCCACTTATTTCCCAGGGGAAGTCACTCATTTTTCCAAGAGAGAGCCCAGTCCTCACTGAGCCTTAACTGAGCCCTGCTCTTGGTTTCTGTTTTTCTGTTTTCCAGGGGGCTCCAGCCTAAGGCTCCTGATTTTTTCCCCATGGCTTGGCACAGTGGTTCTAATCTCCAAGTCTGTGCTAGTTCTTGGGTTTATGCAGCATCGTTTTATTTTCTAAAGTCTAATATTGAACTCTACCAGTTGCTTAGTATCTTAGTCAAAGCTACACTCATGAAAACTTATAAATGATTCCATCAAGATGCAACTATTCCCAACCATTTCTGATATAAGTCGCAAATATAGGGTAGAAACAAAAGAACATTTCATTCTTCAGGGTAACCAGTGTGAATCAGTGTCCCTATAAATAGCAATAGCAACAACAAAAATATTTATCTGTTTGATATGTAGAGTTTCACCTTTACATTTATATGGCTCTAGAATTATCTTCCCCCACCCCGGGAGCTCTAATGTCCTAGAGATTCATAAGTGGTAATTAATGCTTTAAGTCTGTAATTGATATGCTTCATATCATTGCAGAACTCTGACACCAATTTATTCACAAAATTTTTCATTAGTTAATCTAATTTTATCTAAGTTTATTCATGATACTGATTTAATTTGTGTCATTGTATGAAATTTCAAAAAGCACACAAAGAATTTTCAAACTCTACAGTAGCTATTGCTTAGTTTTGTGTTCCATTAAACTGTAACGTCAATATAGAAAAGTGTTAAAGTTAGAATATTTAGTAGTTTCTCTTTATGGCAGTGAAACTATTAAAACTCCCATTTGTTTTTGTCTCAGACATTTATCATACATATAGAAGTGGTAAAAAGGTTTCATTTGCATAAGGATTTTTTTATGACAGAAAAGATGATTTATTGTACTTGCATTACACTCAGCCACAAGTAACAACACTAGTCCCCGAATGTCACAGGTCCAGGGAAAAGGACCACAGGGGCTGTTTTGTTAGGAGTAGTAGCATGGGTCTCTCAGAGGTCTTGGTGGCCCTGGAAGTTCTAGATCCAGAGGCAGAGTCGACAGTATCTCGCCATTCACCTTGTACCAGTGCCTGAGCCTGTGACATCATTTCCGCCGTGGAGGCCTCCAGAGGTGCACAAGCGGTTTACTTGGACCTCTGCCTCATCCCCCTTCATTTACGCTTCAGCCTGCGCATTTGCTTCTCCTGCACCTGGCTCTCATAGCACGGAGGTTGCCAAGAAAATGGCACTAAGGCCAAGAGCGCGAAAGGATATTTTTAAGTAATAGGAAGAATGAATGCTAGAGATGAGAAAGAAATGCTGTCAGACAGTTACCTACACAACCCAAAACTGAACATAAAACCCTATGCCACTCATATTTACTGAAAACCATTATAATCCATTGAAAATTACCAGAATGCCAGTCCCCCTACTCTTTCATATCTGCTCTAAATACAAATCCCTCAAGAAATAAAGCCTATTGCCATGTATAGCTAAACTTCAATGTATGTGTGACTTCTTTTTCATTTTCAAGCTTATAAAGTCTAGACTTGTGGTAATAAAAGGGTTGGCATGATTTTCTGACTGGATAAACTTATTTAATCATTACTCCACCAGTCATTAATTAAGCAAATGTCACATGTTGGTGCAGGCCTAGAGGCTGACATAACGAAGATCAGTAAGGCAAGGTCCCAGTGACCCAGGCTCTGACCATCCGTAGAGCATAGACTTGCGCTTTAGGATAGCTATACAAGCAGCAGCAATCTTACTGATGACAATAGACTTTTATATTAATATTTATTAAACACCTTAACAATATAAAGTTCTTTATGATATATTAAGGTTTTCTAGTATCTATGTCATATCTGTGTTAATCATATACAAAGAAAGAAACCCCATAAAACTGTTGTTGAAATTACAGAGACAATCATGGATTTGCTAGAAGTGCTCTTCGTTTCATTATTTTATATTATAATTTATCTAGGGCATATTGTGTTATTGCATTATTATTAGAGGGGTGTTTTTTGTCTTTTTAAGAGATCTTTTTGCTATGGGGATGTGCACCCACCAGAGAGAGACAGAGACACAGAAAGGGAGAAATCACTCCCCAGTGGGAATAGTCACTCTGCAATCCCTTCTCCATTCTTGCCTCGGGATTTTGGGCACTCATGTACACGCACCAGGCATAAGTTTCAAGCCTTGAGTCACAGTTGACCATGTGGGGGTCCAGCAATGTAACCATTACACCATCTGCTGGTCACAATTACTACAGATTTTAACTGGGAATAAACAACTATCCTATTAAATGAAATATTAGGTCGTTGGAAAAGCCATGATGCATTTTTGCATAGAAAAACATCAAAAAATAGGTCAAGACTTTTCCGACAACCCAGTAACGTGTATGTAACCATGATTTTTCAGAACAAAGCCCACATGAAGCTTTATATGATAATTTTGGGTTCATATTTTATAGGTAAAAATAATCAAATTGAAAATAATGACTTTGTCACAGAAGGACTTGTCCTTTATATTACATCCAGAATCTGATGGAGTAGGCAGGAGAAGTGGATGTTCAGACACACAACTTTTAGTATGCCTTACAATTTTTAGTTTCCCATCTTTTCCTTTAAAAAGGGAAATAGAGAGGAGAATAATAACATGATCTCTGGAACATACTCTCATCTGGTGATGTTTCATAACTTAAGCACAAACAGAAACAAAAATAAAAACTCTCTTGGAGTCGTTTTATCTCATACTCTTAGGAGTTCATACACCAAGCTCTTTACTCTCTCTTGATGCTTTTCCAAATGACTCCTGCATTCTGGCCTCTGCAGAGATGGGTGAGTGCAGTTATCGTATAGGCCACACTGTGCAGTGGTTGAGGGCATGGGCGGGGAAGTGGATGGCCCCCCTGTGCCACTTCAGGCTGTGTGATCCTGGGCAAGCTACTTAACTGCTTTGGGCCTCCACTTTCTCATTGGTAAACTAGGTTGATGATAAAACTCACCTCAGAGGGTCATTGTGAGTATTTACAAGTTAAACTAATGGTTAGTACACTGTGCGGCCATCACAAGCCCTCGGCAATGTCAGCTCTTACAAGGTTAAAGCTCAGGTTTCCTCAAACCAGATCATAGTAGAGGAAGAAATAGCTGTTAAATATGTAAGAAAACATTCAACCTCACTGATCAAGAACTTCATATTATTAACATGCATTAACTATTTTGTACAATTGAATAGGTTTGTTTATTGATAATTGTTCTTAGTGATGATGTAAGCCTTTGTACACCTTCACAAACACTAGGAGTATAATCATTTTGAAAGGCAGGTTGCCCTGTTTCCACACCAAAATTTTAAGTGTAGGCACTCTGTTTCTCAGAAATTTTACTTTAAGAATATCGCCTTTAGAAATACCCTCAAGTATGCAAACATGTATGTGCACCCATGCACACACACACACATGCATATCTCTGTTCATTGCTATTATTTTAAATAGAAAACAACACTTCTGATATGAAACAGTGACCATGAATTAACGTAAAATGAAAAACACAGTTAGCTTGGCCCGAAGATAGCATGGTGGTTAAGGCGCTGGACTCCCACAGAGCTGGCTACAGTTGATAGTCCTAGACCTGGAGGCTTGCTTTCTCACTTTTCCTCCCTCTGTGTCTCTCTCTCTCTCTGGTGTGTGCACCAATAGCAAAATTTTAAAATACATAATAACAATAAATAAAATTAAATAAATAATTCTTAGAGAAAGCACAATTAGCTTAACTGTGCATATTGCGTGATCCTACTTTGGTGAGAAGAACATATTTTATGTGTGTGTTTATAAGGGGGAAATGTATATGTTTAAAGTTATACACACAAAAACTGGAAATGATTCACAGAGACATATGGCCCTAGACTCCTACTCAACAGGATGATCTGTGTTATCTCTCTGTTCAGAAAAACATTCTTGAACTTTACCATATGTTTTTTTTCAGACTTCAATTAATATTTGGAGAATTGAAACCATTTTCTGTAAAATATAGGAGTGAATATGTATGGCATGCATCATCTGAGATGTCTTCAGCATCTGATGATATAGACAAAAGGACAGACGGAAACGTTTTAATTAACATAGTCTTGATTGTAATGAAAGCTGTAAGCCTCATGATGTTTGAAATATTCTTTATGTAGTGAACATTTTTAAAATAATCTAAGAACAAAAATTATGCATAAATGCTAGCTGCGAACCTGTCGATGCCAAATTTTTCTTCCTTTTTAATGTAACTGTCTCATTTGTCCTCACAGAGTGACTGGAGGTGAGCTCTTTGAAGACATCGTGGCAAGAGAGTATTACAGTGAAGCTGACGCCAGGTAAGTGCTTGCCCTGAGCCAGGTACAAGCCTCAACATTCAAATGACATTTGTTCAATATATCTCTTTACCGATACATCATGACACTTAATATGTACAAGAATTTCGTAATACCATATCAGATCTCATGAGGAGTCCCTCTTAATTAATATTTCTTTCTTTAAAGGAGCTCCAAGATAATTGTTAGAAAAAAGAAAAAGAAAAAGAAAAGTCTGTGAATGTGGTCTGAACTTTGTTTTTATTCACCATCTATAGTTAGAGTGTATATATTACAAGAATAAACGCAAAAAAGAAGCCCCCAAAACAAAAAGACTGCCTAACTGAAATGATCCTAAAGAAATATATGTCTATAGCAAAGATCAGAACTCAAAGACTGAGATCTTGCCGTCTCTGTGTCCTGGGCTTCCCAGTGAGATGGCACTCTCACATGTGGCTGTTTTAATTTTAATTTCAGTTCATTAAAATTAAGTACAATCTGGGGCCCAACAGTGGCTCATCAGTGAGTGCAGATGCTCGCGGGGCAATCCCACCTGGGGAAGTTATGGTAGCAGCACAGAGACCTCCCTGAATGCCAGCAGAGGCTTGCCTATGATCCGGAACTGGCTCAAAGCTGGGAGTGGACTGTGACATCAAGACCCTGTCGGAGGTGCTCTCTCTCTTTCCCCTGTCTCTCTCACACATGGGAGAAATTAATAAGTAAACTTTTTATTTAAAAACATTAAATGCCATTTAAAATTCGGTTCCTCAGTTGGATTAGCCACCTTTTAGATGCTTAAGAGCCCTGAGTGGCTAATGGCTGCTAATTAGACAGAGCAGGACAGTGTAAAGCATTCCCATCATCACAGAAAGTTCCACTGAGCAGTGCGTTATCTGTTCAGAGACCATAAAAAGAAGCAGACCAGAGCCAGCAGATGGTGTGGTGGTTATAGCACTGGATCCCACATGGCTAGCTTCACAGTTCGAGTCCTGGACTGGTGGCTTGAAAATCATGCCAGGCATATGCATGCATGCCCCAAAATCTGAGATGAGAATGGAGGACAAGGGATTGGGGTGTGGCCATCCTCTTTGGGGGTTTATTTCTCACTTTCTTTCTCTCTCTCTTCCCCACTGTTGAGTACACATGCCTTATAGCAAAACTAAAAACACCGATCTCCTTAAAGTATTATTACCTGTATAACTCTTCAGAAATTTCATTAAAACTCTTAGAATTCTGACTTCAAAAATGGTTTATCCAGGTATTTCAGAGAGTTCAAGAGTAATATTCCAATCATGTTAACTGAAAAAATATTTACTAAAACTTAAAAACTAAGCTGTATCTTTTTGTCTAATGAAGCTTCCTGCGTTAACCCAAAGGCAACATTTTTGGACTGAAGGAATATTAACGCATCTGCTTAGGTGCTCCTGGACTGTATGGTGTTCATTTTCCTCAGCATTCCTTATTTATATTCTGTAGCCATCATTTATTTTTAAAAGGCCGATCAGGAGCTATTGGCTCCTTATCAGGGATATAAAGGAGATGATACGAAAATGCAGTTACATGCTTTCGGCCCCCATACCTTGTTACTTTCAGAGCTCCCTGAGTCTTGTTCATCCCAGTATAGCCTGACCCTTCAGCTGAACTTGAGGACCCATCCCTCCAATGTAGCGTATGTGTGTAGGCCCCTTCTCAACTGCGAACTTCTCTTGCCCCAGTGCTCCTGCTGATGGCATTCTGTGAGTCCATCTGTACACGCCTACACTCATTTTGTAATGGAAGGTCACATAGAAAGTTCTGTTCACTTATACTATGATGAGTGGATGCCACTTGTTTGTTTTACCCCAAATCCTCCCATTAGGCCCAGAAGAGGGACCGCATAGCAGCTCTGCAAGTAGCTATTTTCCCTTAATAATAGAGAGTAATCGTTTTAATAAAAGTAGTAGAACAGTTACAGAATTACATTTATTTTGCCTCTCAGCATTATGTTAAATATGCTATTAACACGGACCAGCAAATGGTGTAATGGTTACATTGCTGGACTCCCAGGTAGTCAAACGTGGTTCAAGTCCTGGACCCAGCAGCTTAAATTCATGCCAGGCACATGTATATGCGTGCCTAAGATCCCAAGAGGAGAATGGAGAAGGGATTTCAGCGTGGCCATTTCACCTGGGGGGTGATTTCTTGCTTTCTGTCTCTCTCTCTGTCTCTCCGGCGAGCACACACACCCTACGGCAAAAATCTCGCTTAAGAAAAAACAATAGTAATAATACACTGTTAACTGTTTCACAGTTGAAGAGCCCTGTAAATAGTAAGACAGACCTTATGGGTTGGATCATTTAATATATATGTTATATTAAGTTTGAGAATTGACCATAGGATTTCTTTTTAGAATAGAAATCAGGAAATAGCAACATTTTCTTCCCAAGTACAGGCATTAAAGAGGATACGCCTCAAAAAAATTGTAGAAGTGTTTTCTTACTGATGTTCAAGAATTGAAGAAATAAGTTCATTCTCCCCAGTAAATGATGATGAAATTTCTTTAATATGAATAATTATTTATTTCTTTATTTTCTGTTATTCCATATACCCAATAATGTATGCTTGAGGTTTGAGAAGAGAAAGGGAAATATTCCCAAAGGTCCCAAAGTGACCATTACTGTAGAAGGAAAAGAGTCATATGATGTTTAGAAATAATTACCAGCCCACAAGTAAGCTATGCAGTCAACATCAGCGGGAGGTTCTTTTAGTGGTCCTGCAATCATGATCAGTTTTTTATATTTATACTATAGTAAATCAGATTATGATTACTTTCTGAAGTTCCCTTAGTACAATAATATTCTGTACCTTAAATGGTTGAAAATGTTCTTATTAAAATGTTTGTTTCATCTTTACAGTGAATGAATGTAGTTCTGTACATTGGTATTTGATCTCACTGTGAATCTGTACAGATTTCATTAATGCGATATGTTTTATGTCACCAAGTGTCAGATGACAGCTTATGGGCCCTTGTAGGTCCAATCGATAATTTCTTCTCTCTAATTTGATTAGCAGTCTATTTGATATCAGTGAGCCTTTCATCGGAATAGCAAACATTGCATATTCTGACATAGTAATAAGCAAAAATTGTCCTTCGCTGAAGTGTGTGAAAATAGGTTTAACGATTACCAGTGCTCCAGGGGATTTTTAAATGTATTTACTTATTTATTTTATTTTTGTAAGCTCCCTGGTCTTCCACCAGAGTATTCTTATACTGAAGAGGAGTTTATTTTATGTCATGTTAACTTTGAACTCTTCTTCTGTTATTTGAGATTTGCTTTAGTTTTCCTATTATATATTATGCAAGAAGTATCACTCCCAAGTTAAAATGATAAATGTGTCCCTCCGTTTTTTTTTTAGCCCTTGTTTTACCTGCCACTTCATTTGTGTTTACCCTCTTGTTTCAACACCTATGTTTAATTGTGACCTCAGATTTTAAACAGTTTAGATGTGTATAAGAAATACCTGAAAATTTTTTTACCTCTGAAAAAAATTTTCCATAACATTCTGGGAATTTTATAAATGTTTCTACCAGAATATGGAATTTAAATTTGATCCAAATGATTTAACTTGTAGATTTATAATTAAAAACACACAGCTCAAATTGTTTTGTCTGAACATGTCACAAATTCTGTGTTGGATGTCATTTTTGTTAGAACCAGAATTAGCTTTATTCAACATTATTTAATTCCAATGTAAAGCTAAAAAAAAAAAGAAGAAGAAATACAATTTTCGTTTGTTTGTTTGTTTCGTTGGAACTTTCATTTTATTTCGTATTCAATGTGATTATGTGCCTTTAAAATGTTCTCCCTTCCATTCTGCCCTTGTATCTTTGCAGTCATTGTATACAGCAGATTCTAGAAAGTGTAAATCATTGTCACCTAAATGGCATAGTTCACAGGGACCTGAAGGTCAGTATATGGAGTCCATAAATCCAAATCAAAGGAGTTTTTTTTGTTCTGTTCTGGGGAAAGGGCAGAGGGTGGGCATTTAAAATGGTTCCCTTGCTTTTCCTGACTTTTTCCTAAAATGAGTAAATGATGAAATGATAATGCATGATGCCTCTTTCAGTTGCTCATCTACAGGCTAAATATACATCATAGCAGAAAGGGTAGGACAATATTAAGACTGCAACCTGCTAAGTTTCCAAGCAGTAACCAGAGGCGGTTGGGACAGGCTTTCCTCAACGGTCCAGCATTTGCCTGGAGATGAACTCAGCCTGTGATGTATGTCCGCCTGTAGATTTAAACACCACTTCTGTTCTGAGACCATGGGTTGCTGTAGCAGAACAACTGGTTACACATTGCTCCATTCGAGTCTGATGAACCCTTAGGCAAGAGATAATAACTGCCAGCTAAATTGAAGTACAAGAAGTTAATGATTTATCAAAAATTCATTATGTACCTTAACTTAACCTTCGTGGTGCCTTGGCTACTAATGTGACAGTTTTTAGAAGAATGCTGGAAAAATGAGAGGATAGGGAAACAGTTTTTGTGCATGGGGTGAAGGTGGAGCATAGTAGCTATAAAGATTATATTTGTGTTCCAGTTCATTTCCTGGAAGAAGTTACCACCAGGAAATGAGCTCTTCAGTGAAATGAAATATTTTCAAAATGGACTTTTCTAGAACAGGTTGGGCCCATTTATGTTCTGACTCACATCTGGCAATATCTTGATTGTTCTGAGGTAGTAGTCACTCTACTTGAGCAATATGTTTTCAACACTGAAGGTGGTAAATACAACCCCAGTTGTCTGCTGGTTCTGCACTTTAACCCAGTCTCTCTGAGGGTGTACAGACAGTGAGTGTAAGCTTGGAACTAACACACGCCCCCTGGTGTTTGCATGCAGTCATTGCATTCAGCAGATCCTGGAGGCTGTGCTACACTGCCATCAGATGGGCGTAGTCCATCGGGACCTGAAGGTGAGTAATGCTGCTGGAGAAGATGAACCACCACACAGTTCCTCATGACTGTTCAGCTGCAGTTATGCCTGTAAAGGCGAAAACATGAGCAATGAAATTGCATGGACTTGTTCCAACACATTGCGAAGCCACTTTCCCTTACCAAATCTCTCTTACTTCATCTTCTCTCTATTACAGACTTCAGACTTAAATACATCCCAATTGTCCAGATGGCAGTTATTTCCTTCCACAAACAATAAGTAGGCTGCTGGTTTTCCTTCCTTCTAAGCATGGGTATGGCATTTAATGTGACTTCAGTAAGGCTAACGATCTCTTTTTCATTCCGAACATGTTTTGTGCACATTGCTCAAACATAGTATTTTATATTCATATTATATATACTGCCAGGATCTTTTGATCCTGTTAGGTTAATACTTACCAAAGTTCTAAATGGCATAAAGTTATTAAGCAGACAGTTGGTCCAAGTGATGGGATGATAAAGAGCCCCAAGCTGAACTCTGACGTGATCTTCCCCTTAAATTTAGTCCTAGAATTCTGAGGATACTGAGACTTCTTGGCTCTTTATTTATTTGTATTCCTAAAAGCCAAGATACTAGTGCTTTTAAAATACACAAGTGGAAAAACGTAAAGCAACATTTATCATTAAATAATATTTACATATCCATATAGATATACACAAACACATACATCCCTCTGTATTTATAAACACATGAGTGTCTATTGATGCTTCTAAGATTTCACTCAACTTCTATGCCACTGAAGACAAAAAAATTTTAGATCATTTCAAAATAAAATAGTTTGCAAGGAGGCTACTCACTCACTAGTTTTCTTTCCCATTCTACTAGCTTTTTAGTTTTACTTGTGGAATTTCAGAGAAATAGTAGAAGTCTAGAATTGTAAATAAATGTGAAAAAGAAAACTATCAGATGTACAAAATAACAAATATGAGCATTCGATGGTTTTAATTCTTTGTTTACAATCACAGTATTTCCTAGGAATTAACACAAAAGTGGCAAAGGGTATTTTGGAATATCTGAAGCTATATGTGTCTAGTGGGAGGACCTAGAGTATTTTCTCATGTGCACACTTCTCTAGTTATAATAAATTGCAAATCTGTAATTTCTACAGTTGAGTTACATGAAGATGTGATTTGTGAGAAAAACGTTGGCTCAATTTTCTGGAATCTTCCTTTGATTTCAGTTGATTCTGAGAGTTTAAACTATCAAAAGCAAACTTATGATTAATGCCATGTTCTTTTTGAAGAGCCAAGATAGGGCTGTGAATAACTGGTATCCTTTACAAATTCAACCAGCAGGATAGAGTAGAAACCGTACATTTCTCTGAAAATGTATGTCTTTTGCAGTCACCTCAGAAATCCCTTGCTGGCCATGTACAGCCAGAGTCCCTTTTTGTTACCTCTCAGAATCAATACTATGGTTGTATTCTCTTGTCAGGTGAACATACAGAGACGTGCCCAGCACTGGTGCTGTTTTACCAGCTACTCTATTTAATATATTTATCATCTGAAATATTTTATTTCATCTATGCAACTATAAGTGTGCTTTAAATGTCAAGCATGAAAAATGTGCGTTATCGTCATGACTCACTTTTAAGCTGTATCTTATGAGGTCATTATATAAGACTTCTCTAAGTGTCTGGATTCGCTGAACCATTCAAAGACTAGAACTGTCACCGTGAATGGCCATGGACCTAGGCCATGGCTCTGAAGAAAAAGACATTTTCTAACATGAGCTAAAGTCACTTCAGATCCCTTTCAAAAGAGAAAAGTGATCTCACTCTCCATTCTTATTTTGATTTTGGAGAAAGAGATGAAGTTTGGAGAGAATGTGCTGTAACTTTTGTAACTGTCCTAGTTTCGGTCAGATTGCTGACTAAGGTAGACCTCAGTTAAGTCTGACTCTTGGTGCTTGTTTCAGTATCAAAAGATCCTAGAGAGTCCAGAATTTGTGCTTTAGAGACAATTTATGCACACCTGAATATATAGTGCATACTCTATCTGAAAAAACACTGCTTATAATAGCATATTTACCAATATAGTCAAATGTAAAAGATTAGATGTTGAAATTTTTTTCTTATAGGCTTAAAACAAAAAGTTGGTCTTACTACTTCTCTACAGATATCCCAATTCACATGTTAACTCATGTATAGTTCAGATGTGTGATGCACACAGTTTAATTCGTCCATTTCAGTGAAAAAAAAGTAAACACTGGAAATTTTGTGTTTATCATCATTTTCAAAGGCATCCATGAGCATATGGAAGCTGAACAATCTGTTCTTAAATCCTCCCTGGGAGAACAGCTATTTCACATAGCATATAAATCCACAGTGCCTACAGGAGGACCTTTATTGAGCAGATACTTTCAGTATAATTTAGAAATGAATGAAGTCCAACCAACACTACATGATTTTACATAAGTAATAAAAAGGCAACATTGAACAAAACAGATTATCAAACAGTTTATTTAATATGGAACAACATAAACAAGACAAGTGTTTCATCAAAATAAAGATCACTATTTCAGTATTTGAATAACTGCCAGTTTGGGGGGGCTCATTATCCAGTGGAATATAACAGGTGAAAAATTGTTAGGACCAGAAAGAAGACTGAAGCACAGCAGGCAATTTGAGGATGTTTCAGAAAAAAGCAGTTGGAGAAGGTTCAGGGTGATGGGATGTCAGGGTAGAGGAAGTCCCTCTGTCAGTACAAGGAGTACCCAGTGGATACATGGACCACAGCCTTTTGACTAAGGTGGTAGGGCAGTCACGGTAGCTCCAGGTAGTATTAGGGAGATCTAGCAGTGGAGACACTAACACAGTACTAGAGTTTAGGAACAGGATAATAAAAGTGATAATTGCCTTTTCTTGAACAATTGCCATGTACACTGCACTCTTAAGTGAATCTTCAGAACAATTTTGTGAGAAGTACACTAAGCATCCCATATTACATAAGGGAGAATTTAACCACATATTCAAGAACTTATTCAAGGTCACTCACCTAGTAAGATATGATTTATGCCCAAGCAATTTAGTTCCAAGTCTACATACTTAATTATTACCTCTCCTCAACTCAGACAAAGTGAAAACCTTTCAGAGACAAGAGAATAGGTCAAGACAATGATGTGAAAATAATTTTGCTAGCAGCACTAAGAATTATTTTAGAAAATGGTTCTAAATTTAGTGAATTAAAAGGTTAAAATAATCATGCCTATGGATCTTTTGTTTCATTAGAAATAAAATAATGTACACTTCAGATACAATGTGCAGTAATAAGATAATTTGACAATTGACTGGTTTATGAAGTAGAAAAATATTATTTAGCAAATCAGTAAGGTGGCATCAGCCTTTGGAAAATGAGACACAGAGAAGAATAAATGTAATTTAGGCTACATCGAGGCCATCCATGTGCAGTGCTTAAAAATTGTAAGGAACAAATTGTTGTAACACATTGTTGATATTTTGTGAAATGCTAAATAAAGTACAGGTATAAAAGGGGCCAGCAAGTGATATAGTGGATAAGGAGCTGGACTCCTATGTGGTCGACTGAGGTTCGAGTCCCAAACCCAGCAGGTTGAAACTCAGGCCAGATGTGTGTGCATGCATGCTCAAAATCCCAAGAGGAGAATGGAAGAGAAGGGATTGCAGCATGAACCATCCCCCCTGGGGGGTGAGTTCTCACTTTTTGTCCCTATCTCTGTCTCTACAGCAAGTGCACGTGCCCTATAGCTAAAACCTCTCAAAAAGAAAGAAATGAATGACTAATAAAAAGGGAGGAAAAACATTTATGAAAGATTTCCTTAGCAGCCACTAAGACCATGTGTTAGCTGTGAGCGTATATTACAGAGCACAAGAGAAACAGACTCTGTTTATAGACTGTTATAGGTCATTAAATTAAAGATCATTTTAAAGTATATGCAAAATATATTGGTGATATTCCTTCTAGAAAGGAACAAGTACATCAGGCAAGTACTAC